ATCAAAAAAATAGCCATAAAAAGACCGTATGCAGTCAGCCTCAAGTTGTTCTTTGAACTCTACAATTTCTTAGTGGCTAAAAACACCAATGATTCACTTCTAAAAGATCCTAGAAGTAATACTGGTTGCTACTTGATACCAAAACATACATGCAATCTCAAGGAAACTGATTTATGTGGGATTCGAACCAGTGACACACAGCTTGATATTCGGAGTTTCGATCGACCAACATTAAAGGACTAGATAAGAATAACATAGGTTACCGTACATAGTGATCGGCCAATTCTGTAATTAAACTAATTAATTATCCATTTCTCGGTAAATCTTCCGATCAGTTTCATTTCATATTTTACATTATTCCCTCACAGCTACTACCGACACTTGACTTTCCTCTTCAACGCGTATTATGCAGTAATAATATCTTTATTCAGTATATTAACTTCCATTACAGTGAGTAGTCCTTGATATTAATTGTAAAGTACTGCAACAAGTCCCCGTATGACATGTATTTGGATTGTGGTTATTCCAAAAAATATTTTTCAACAGATAGTATCTGTCATTGATCTTCAATGGTGAAAATTTTCTACTAATTCAACTTTTTACAGCTACATTTTTTAAATTCATCATAGACATAACTGATGTGTGGTTAGCGAATGTAAGATGTGACTAGTCGACGAGTAAATACAAACTCAGACATCCAACTACGGTAAGTTTTCGAGACAGAATACGATGATGTAAATTCCTTCCGATGATCGATTTGCACTTTGGGGTTCACTGTGTGAATAAACTTCCATGTCTATATAATTTGATTTTTAAGCATAGGTTTGATACTGCGTGAATGTGCGAATCATGGGATTGTACAATTTACCACCTAGATCGTATCATATCATAGCAAACTGGAAATAATCTTTACCGCTATAACAATAAGATTTATGAATTACATTATATTCGTTAGTTTCTTCAAACGGTAGACAAGTAGGAAAATCTGACAACTGCAGTGTTTTTATTTAGATTCTCCAGTATATAACATTGCAATAATTCGTAAGACTTAAAAAAACGAAACATGTGAACACATAGTTCTCATTTAGAATTATTTATTCCAACCTAATTTAAAACAGGTGAATAAATTAAAGTATTTGCACAACTGACAGACTAAATATTTCAACGGGCAGTCATATTCATTACGATAAGTCTAGTATTCTGGCTATTATTTTGTTAATCTCTTATCATCTCACTATGGTGATTCCAGGTAACTTAAGCTGATATACAACTTAGTTACATTATCTAAAGGAGGAGAGTTTGGCACGAGGTTAGCGACCCCATCCGGTGGAAAACCAACTCGCTAAAAAACGCTAGCCAGAAAAATAACTCAAACCATTTAAACTATGCCCTGGGAAGGTCTTCATTTAGAAGAGTTATGATGCCTCATAGTGAAAGCCGGCTTTCTTCGAAGTCACGAGGCTAATGCATCTTCTGACAACCAAAGTATCCGTTAATTTAGGTACATGGAATGTTCGTACAATGTGGGAGACCGGAAGAGCCATCCAAATTGCTGCAAAAACGAAAAGATACAGCTTGGAGGTGCTTGGAATCAGTGAAACACATTGGACGTAGATTGGGCAACAATGACTAGCTTCAGGGGAGCTGATGTTATACTCCAGCTATGAAGAAGAAAATGCTTCACATACGCAAGGCGTTTCACTGAAGCTATCCAGACAAACACATAAAGCACTTATAGGATGGGGATCTCATGGACCCAGGATCATCAAAGCCTCTTTCAAAGCAAAGAGGCATCATAACTCTTCTAAATGAAGACCTTCTCAAGGTAGAGTTTAAATGGTTTGAGTTATTTTTCTGGCTAGCGTTTTTTAGCGAGTTGGTTTTCCACCTGATGGGGTCGCTAACCTCGTGCCAAACTCTCCTCCTTTATCCGGGCTTGGGACCGGCAGTAACCCCAAAGGGGCTCTAGACGGAGTTGAATTTATCTAACTCGATACATAATATTTTGCAACTTAACTGAACATAAGTGGACATTTAATAGTAGACACTTCGGATTCAAACTGTTGTAATTTTAGAAAGTCAGTCAGTCAATCAGCGACAACGTAGGACCAGGCACATATATGCATCGGTCCAAGTTGCCATACTTCGTTAGCACAACAAGATCAACACCGGATTCATAGTAGTTAATTTAGTAGTGGTGGTATTATATAAATTATAGGTTGTATATAAGGATATAGTATAGGAAGGAAGAAAGTTATGAAGCAATTTTAATCTCAAGGTTTAAGGGAAGATAAAGAGTGTATACACCTACGCCATTTTTATCGATTCTGAGCCATGTCATACAGAGTCTCCAACCATTTATTACGATAGTCACGCGGACCCCAACCAGGTAGTCTGCATCTGCCAACATGGCTCAGACTAGAAGTTAGTGACTTCAAGCACTGATGCCATGTTTTGGTTTGGCCGCCCCTAACTCTCTTCCAACCATCCCCTACACTAGTCAACATTGCGCGTCGTGGTAATCGATGTTCAGGCATACGTAACACGTGGCCCAACCATCTCAGTCGATGAAGATTCATCACCTCATCAACTGATTTACCATCATTCCCTAATACCCTGCGTCTAACCTCACTATTACTTACCCGGTTATCCCAGCAGATGCGAGCAATATTTCTAAGGCATCTGTGGTCAAATACTAGTAACCTACGAGTATCTTCTACTCTTAATGGCCATGTTTCATAGCCGTAAAGTAGAACAGAGCGAACTGCTGCGCAGTATACTCGTCCCTTAATTGATAGACGGATATCTCGTCTTCGCCATAGGTGACGTAAGGTGGCAAAAGCCAAACGAGCTTTTTGAATCCGTGCTGAGATTTCGTCAGACACCAACCCATTAGGACTGATCAGACTTCCAAGATAAGTGAAGTTGTCAACGCGTTCGACTACTTCACTCCCTATCCTTAGTTCAGGTGTTGACGCAGGCCAGTCCTGGAGTAACAATTTACATTTGGGTGGGGAGAAACGCATCCCAAATATCCTGGCATTATTACTCAGTTCCAACAGAAGACTCTGCATTTTTCCAGCGTCTTCACCAAACAGGACTATGTCATCTGCGTATTCTAAGTCGCTTAGTGGTCCCCCTGGTAGGAGATCAATTCCTGAAAATTCAGTCGACGAGTGTTATTTCCAGCAACAGGTCTATAATGAAGTTAAACAAAAATGGGGATAGTGGACAACCTTGACGGACACCACTTGAAGTTGTAAAATCATATGACAGTTCGCCATAAGCTCTCACTCGACTGGTAGTGTTCGAGTAAAGAGCCTTCACAAGGTTTATGTACTTCTGAGGCACGCCTTTCAATGACAGACACTGCCACAGAACCTCTCGGTCTACAGAGTCAAATACTGCTTTCAAGTCAAGAAAAACTATCATTGTCGGACGCCGATAAGCGTGTCTGTGCTCTAAAACTTGACGAATGGTGAATATGTGATCGATACAGCCACGACCAGGCCTGAAGCCAGCCTGATTTTCTCGTGTTTGCAGTTCACGAGTCTTAGTTAGGCGCCTGATAATTATTGAGGCTAGTATTTTAGATGCTATGTTAGTCCGACTAATCCCTCTATGGTTAGCGCAGGATGATTTTGACCCCTTTTTATATATTGGGAAAATCAGTGATTGTGACCAGTCGGATGGGATTACGTCCGTCTCCCAGATTTTAGAAAGAATATTAGTCAACCTAATCGCTAAAATTGGACCACCATATTTAAAAACCTCTGGAGCCAATCCATCTGCTCTTCCTCGTTTCAGATTACTTATAGCCTTTTGAACTTCAAGTAGGGTCGGGGGGTCTACTTCAATGTTCCATTCAGGTTTTCTGGGAATAGTGGGTAGTTGTGCAGTAGCTGAAGGCCAGCCAAACTGCTCCTTAAAGTGTTCCGCCCATCGTTCTAAACGTTTGGGTTGAGAGAAGATAAGGGTTCCGTCTTTTTCCGAGATTGTCTCACTTACACTTGACTTATTAATTCCGGTTTCTTTTATTGGTCTGAATAGTTGCCTACAGCCGCTGCCTTTTCCATCTCTTTTGCTTTCGTTGCCCACCACTGCTCACGATCGTTCCTTAGACTTTTAGTTAACCTAGATCTAATTTGTCTACGCTCTTCATGTTCAGAGCCTGATGGGATGAGTTTACGCGAATCCATCAGTGAAATAGACTTAGAGGAAATCCACTGGTTTTTTGGAGCCATATGGTTTAAATGACTAATAGATGTTACTGCTGTTTCCACAGCTGTTCGCGTGTCTTTCCAAGCAGCATCTCGGTCAGTCTCGTTTACAGAACTGCCTAGATGTGAACTCAGTTGTTTCTGGAATTCGCATTTGGCTTTCTCGTCCTCCAGTCCAATCCTAATGGGTCTTCTTAGTGTACTTTTCCTGCGTCCATGGAAACGCAGAAAAATGCGCGCTCGTAATTTTAGAGAAATAAATAAAAAAGAGAAATATGTGACCCTTCCAAAATCGATTTACAAGATCGTGACGAACATTTATAGGTTTATAATAAAGAATAACTTTTTTCCTTTCCCACACAAGTCTACATGGATAGAGTTAGGTATGGAGTGCGAAGAACATGGCAAGAGGAGAAAAAACAACTGGTAGAATATGACGTGTAAAACATACAGAAACAGTTGGGAATGAGTGCGAAACACGTAGTAAATAAGAGTTCACGAGCCAAGCCTTAAAAATGTGCAAGGTGACATCAAGTGAAGAGTTTGTCTAGAAAAGTGAACATTCTTAGAGCTACTAGATAATTTATTATTGGCAATAAATCAATGCGCCAAGCACGAGTCAAGACCAACCCACTAATATAATAACAAGACATAAAGACAATCATAGCTGATGAAAAAGATATTGTATCTAAAAAACTATATACATTACACGTTACTTCTGTTAAATGTTGGGATTTTTACAACTTTTCGGCTTCACGTTTGATGCGTGATGCGAAAACTTTAGAGACTAGATTCCAAGCATCTACGTAGCGATCCATGCATAAACCTACGCATTTCTAAATCAATATTAAAGTGTCTGGGATGCATATTACCTGTTCAGAATTGTCCAGGCTTGTTCCTGGCTTAGTGACACATTTCTCGAAGCATTTATCCGACATTTTCTACAATAATTAGGGATTAGGACATAAAGATCCACCTCTAAAAGCTCTCTGGCACTCGCCAAAGCAACTTCTGTTCGCATTTGCTCCATTAATTGTCCCTTCTGGGCAGGAGTGAGAGAATTTAAATTGAGGCTTTGATCCATCCGAACTTATTTCAGAGACAATAAAGTGAGGGTAACGCATGCAGTTAAAAAGTGTGACCTCAGTCTTAGTTTCAATTTTGGAGGGGTAAAAGGCTTACCGTTCTGGACTTGTCCTGGCAACAGTGATCTCTCAGTTGATCCGACTTTCCTTTGGAAGTGCCGGTCAGTGGGGCTTCAATCATGTGCTAAAGTGATGAGTTCCATTCACAGTTTATTTGATGGAAAGATAGATGACCAGCTGACAAGTAACTTGTTCTGGGTTTAAGAACCTTTTTATGGTGTCCTGGTAAGTTGTCTGTTATGGAAGACAACAAAATTGAGACCACATCAGATGCAAATCTATCACTAGGTAATTAAAAACGGTGGTCAGGTTACACTTGGGTCTTCCATTGCTTGCTACTTACTTGCGCCTGTTACCCATCATGGAGGAGCATAGGCCACTGACAAGCAATATACATCCAAATCTGTCCCGGACAATCCTTTACAATTGTTATTCATCATTCTGATGTCTGTTTCCAATTCCCATTGTAAAGTGTTCTTTGGCCTTCCTCTTTCCCGTTTCACTTCAGGATTCCAGGTTAGCGTGTAGTATCGGTTTATATGTTAAGCTCATATACTTTATTCTAGCTTCTGGCCAAGCCAATTCACCCATATATTATGAGTCATGTTTTGATCTTGTTAATCATTCGCTTATTAACCTTGACTACATTTTTATATGAGCGTATATGTGTACCCTTCGTATCCTATTCATAATATGTCTGTCGTTCATTTTTGTCTGATTATAAATATTGAGTAATGCTTGCTCATAGCGAGTTGGCTTCCCAGCCATCTCCATTATGCATCATCTTAGCTTCGCTCGTTTACACTTGCTCATGTGCTTAAAGCCTTCTGGTCTGCATCATTCATCAATAAAAATGTAGTTGCCACTTCCTTTTGCCTTCTGATTTTATACACCGTTAAGATTGGTATAATAACGGTTATCGAAGTGAACTACTAATGAAGCACGGCACTACAAGCGCTTCCCTTGAGATGCAGTTTGATGATTTCGCCAATTTGTGCTCTTACCACCTGCATCGTCTTTTCCTAATTTTCTCCTCAGATGAAAGCTGGTTTGTTCCCTCCCACAGTAGGCTGTTGTTGATAGTATCCGGTGAACGGATATTGAGTATCTTGCGTAGCCAACTATTTGTCAATACTCGTACCTTTTTGATGATGATTGTGGTATTCTCCACGTTTGGTATTGAAAATCCTGACTTTGGCATTGGTTAAAAGTTGTTTTGAGTTCAGTATGTTCTTCAACTGTGGGTATAAGCCCCTTGCTTTGCCAATACTTTCCTGTACGTCTGTATCAGACTCTCCTTGTTTATCAGCGATGCCGTCCAGATACGTAAAAAATTCCACCTCTTCCAGAGTTTATCCATCAAGTGTGATTGCGTTGACGTTCTCTATATTGTATTTGAGTATATTGTTTCTTCCTTTGTATACAATGAGGCCTGCTTATGCAGTAGCTTGCGCTACAATGGTAGTCTTCTCCTACATATGTTGGTGTGTATGGGATAGAAGATCTATGTCACCTGTGAAGTTCAATTACTTTAAATGTATGCTTGCTGTCCACTGTATTTCGTGCTTTCCCTCAGATGTTGTGGTCTTCGTAATCCAGTCAACCACCAGAAGAAAGAGAAAGAGGGATAATAAGCTATCTTGTCTGTCACCGATACTCATCTGTCAGCAGTCATCCATGCACCACTTTGCGGTGTAGTCTGTCGGATTAATTCCGGATGACGTTGACGATTTTCTCAGACACACAATGGTATCGAAGGAGTTTTCATAAGGCTCTTCTATCCAAAACCTCAAACGCTTTCTCATGGTATAGGAAGTTGGTGAATAGCAACGAATTCTATTCAATTGATTGTTCAACAATGAACTGTGTGGTCGCGATTTGGTCTGTAGTTCTTCCAAGTGAGAAGGGAAATAGATTTGCTTTAGCTAGTCTGTCATCATACGCGAACTTCATGATTCCGGGAATCAGCTTTGTTGCGACCCTTTGAACCTTTTCAAAAGCTTACTTTCTGTTCAGACAAGGGCTAGCCGTCTTTATGTAATACTCTGGTTTAGAAAGAACGAACACTGCATACAAAGTCAAAAAAACTTTCGAATCAGCGTAGACAAAAAAACTCCAATCGTTGACAATAGGTTTCCCAAACCTTTTGCGGATATCGCAAAGCAGTGAGCAGTAGTTTCCAAGTGTTAGCGAACGATGACACTCAGGTCATTGTCTGTCTGAACAACATGTGTATATATCTGTACCTTAGTGACCAGCATGCATCATGATGCGCATGGAAGCATTTATCAGCAACTGCCAGATTCCAGAACATTCAGATAATGTCTACAACTCATTTTAAAGCTCTAGACCATCAAATTTACTTTTTATCGCTTTCCGTATCTTAACATCATTAGCGTATAACCAAACCGATGATGATACGAGACTAGGTAAATCATTTACATACAGTAGGAACAACAGTGGCTCCGAAACCGTACCCTGAGTCACTCCGCTAAACACACTCTCTCATCTAGAGAACCTTGAGCCCTCTCATGCTCTTTGTTGACGTCTAACTAGGAAGTCCTTTGTCTACATTAACAAGTTGTCTCCAATCTCGACATCACTTAACTTCGACGACAGTTAGCTTTGGGGAGCTTTGCCGACGGTCCCAATGAAGTTAATGTGGGCTGCATTTATGGGCAACTTTTGATCATTAAGAGTATGCTAACGTTGACGAGCTACAAACAAGCTAGCCAGACGTGAATAACTTCTTCTAAAGCCATGCTACGTTTTTGGAAAGGACCAGTTTCAGCCGAGATACTTAAACAACTTTCGAACAATGCTTTTGTTATGTCCCGATAACAATAATGAGTGGTAACTTTGGGATACATTTATGGACCAATATTATGCATATACTTTTTATCGTATAGTTGTTAAATAAGTAAACTATTGATATTTATGTCCCCCTTATTATGAGCTTTATTTTGACTTATGAACTATTGTTATACGATTTGCCATTCTTGAGTTATGTCCAGTCTATTAATTACTGTTGCCCACATTTACAGCCACTTTTGGCTATATCTTGTACAAATGTCATTTTCTATTTTATAGTATGATGTGGTCTATTTGATTGGTAATTAAACTCAGTATGTTCGAAATATAATGATTCATACCGCAGAGGCTGTTATTGGTGTTCTGGACGTAACTGGCTGGGCTAAGCGGAAAGGAGGACCGACAAGTGCTCTAGACTGCTCCTACGGGTTTCGTGTGTCATTGATCCGATTGCTAATTCACTGCTCTCTAATTGGCAGTATTATCACGTTACACACTAACAGGGCATCCTGGCGGTCACAAGTTATAACGGTTTTCTAAAATTTCGACAGACACACTGGTTAGGCTAACTATTAGATAGTTATGAGGTTTATGTTTCGTACCTCTTTTGAAGATAGGACTTACTTTCTTCCATTCTTCCGTTAATCGAACCTGGATTACAGATAGATTAAAACATATGCTTACGGGGTTCGCGACAAAATTTGCCAAATTTTTTAGTAACCTAGGGTGCATTTTATCAGGTGGCATGGACTTGTCTATACCACGTTCATTTGGCATACCAAAGACTCCAAGTTCTTTGATGGTCACAGTGACAAGTGTGTGTTTGAACTAAAGACGATAGCACCTCTACTATATACACAAAGCTAAAGCAATTTGAAAACACCTGGGCATTACCATGGTCATTCTCTAGTACCACGATCTCCTCATTATGCCGGAGTGTCTGCTCCTCTCTTAGTCCTTCGGTTTATATGCTAGTATAAGCATTCAGAATATTCTATAAACTCTGAAAGGTTTTCCTTAGTAGACTTGCGGTGGGTCGAGGCACAAATATCTCGAGCTTTCCAATATTGAGATTTTGTCTCATCAGTACCCAGTAACCTAAATCTACCCCTACATTCATCTTTCACAGAGAAGCGTGAGAACCTGTTGACGGAACCACGATGAGGAGTTTCCTGGACTCTTTGGTGCAGCCCAAGGTATGTGCAGTGCTGCGACTTTATGTACAAATTTCTGAATACATTCCAAGCCGTTTCGATGTGGGGTTCCGGCTCTACTATTCAGTCTACTGAGCATGCTGAGTGCACAGCCTACGGTGAAAAGTCGAGTAGCTGCAAAACATTTACAGGAAACTAACTTTCCAATGTGAACAGGTATATTATTATCTGACCATTAGATGGGCGTCATATAGGATTTTTATAAGTGCTGATGATTCTAGGATAGATAAGTCAAATCTGATGACTTTCTTTGTCTAATGAAAATGGTGAAGTGATTTTAGCCTGAGTTCTACACTGATCCCTAAGCAAGGAAATGTGCATTGCCTTTGTCAGCCATTAGAGAAGCGAAATGAGGAAGGTGCTGGGTAATAAGAGTGACTGAGGTGAGGGATATATTGTACTCTTGTGACAACTCAGTGGATTGGTTAAGAGTTGACCACAAACACCCCAGTGATGTTGAAACATTACAGCTCAAGCATTCGTCCACTTTTTTGTTTTGTACAGGTATTATATTTCTTATTATTTAATATTCAATGTTGGAAGAATTTGTGTTTAGGAAAGATAATCTCAAGCTCCAACTTTTCTGTTCTACAAGGGGTACCCACTGACACAAAAATCTTCCTTCCTACCGTTGACTCTAAAGTTTTCATCCGACCTTCTTTTGAGGTGGCAGCAAAACGTTCCATCATTGACTGAACCGAAAGTAAAATAACTAACTTGTTGAAATTCATTACGTAGTGGTTTGCTCGTATTTTTTAAACATCTTCGAAATTTACCATCGTGGAATGTTCTCTTTGGTGTATTTTTGAATTCAGTAAAGTTTGTGTACCTCACAAGTTGTTGATTATCATTCCGTAGATTTTAGAAATACTTTATGAAATTTGCGAGTCAACTAACTAGAATGTGAGACTCAC